CAGACACTGGCAGCTAGAATAATTCAGAGAAATGTAGAATTCTTAAGCTGAATCTTAGCAAGGTATTTTCATCTCTTCATCTAGGACTAAGACATGTGACACATTTGTTCTTGAAGTATTATGCTTGAGGATCTTTGAAAAGATGAAAAGACCACTTCCCTACATCGCTCCACTTAAGCGAAATAAGCACAAGCCCCAAACACCTGGCTGGCAGCAATCGCTCAAGCGCCTGCTGAAAAGTTGGGAGGAAATTGAAGAGGAATTCTTTTATTCCAGATACAGAAAATATGAGTTTAGTCTCCACTTCCATTAACATCTACCACAACAAGTCAACGGTGAGTCACTCCCAATGATATCTGCAATTCTCTGTAATTTATTTCTGAAAGCAATGTAAAAGTCTATGGCAGATACAGAATGAGATCATGTTGGATTGCTCTGTGGGTTTTAACTCTCAAGGAGAATGACCTCTAAACTATTTTCCTGTTTGACGCATGCGGAGTGAGAAGATGAAGGATTCAGAATGAGGACCCCATACCTAACAATTGAGCTTACCCTTTGTACGTCCGGCAATGCAAGGAAGGCCAGAAGTGGGGGGGGGTGTTCTTTTTTAATGTATGAAATCAAACATATTGTGAAGATGCGAAAATTATGACAAAACGAATTAGGAATTTGGAGTGGTCAAATTGCTGGTTTCTTTACAAGTTTAAGAGCCCCTTCACTGCTTAATTTTCTATTTTGATATATTTCTATGTTTTCCTATTAATAAAAGCTTGCCTAGAGGAAACTATGCTCACTTAATTTGGCTGAAGTTAACATTGTCAATCAGGAAAGAAAATGTGCTTATTGTGCGGTGAGCTGTCTTAATTATAATTAATGTTTTTGAAAGGCATTGCACTCAGGGTCATTTCAGATCTACGGACAGTTGTTTGCTGCACAACAAGATTTGAGGGAGGCTCAAAAACTATCTCTCACACCGGCCTGCGGCGGTGCCAACCTATGCACCTACATGGTCAGACACCACACCATTTGACTCAGTCTACTCTGATTTATATAACAAATGCATCATCTACTATTAGAACACACATATGCTCCATGGGTTGAGATAACTTCTGCCCTACCTACATTAAGACATATATTCAAATTCCATTCACTATCTTACTAACAGACACACAGGTTTCTCTTTTGGAGAGCAAGATGGAAGAAAGATCAATGTGAACAGAGAATCCCAGACAGATGGATCTGGGCAAGAACTCTGAGTGAATTCATCTTGCGCAGAAGCAGACTCAGAAGAAGTAATTGGCATAGGCAATGTTGAGCTGGGAGCAGAGGCCAAATGGATTGCTGTTCGCATCCGAGCTTATGACTTTCCATATATGATCAAAGCATACATATACAAGGGTGCACTGACCTTGAAAAGATGGGTCTGATGGGGCTTTAAAAAGAATAAGTGAAACACGGCATGAAGATAAGGGCCAGCATATATGCTGGGAGACCCAAAGTGACAATGAAATATGTAAACTATAGTCAAAGAGGTGTAAAAAACGACTTCATAATTTTGAGAAGGGCAAGCTCTTGCATGGTCCATATTTTCCCTCAATGTGTTGCTGCTTTCAAACTGTATGCTACCTTACTTAAATTTTCCATGTGGTCCCTATCTTCTCTGTTTCTGGCCATCCTGAAATGGTTCTTTTTCTACCAAGTGCTACAGGAAGTTCTCATGTCCTCCTTTGGGCATGTTCTATTCACTTCTAATTCTCAAGGTCCTTATAGAGAGAAGATGATGATAGAGGTAGCCTCTCTCAAATTGTGTTGCCACTTTTATGATAAAATATTTAACCTTATGCAAATTAAGACCATGAACTTCATATGATAAAAGAGCTTATTCCATTAAATTTGCTTTGGTGAAATAATAATTGATCACTTTCTCAATCTTAAGCAAAGGACTAGCCTGAAATTATTACCATTATGATGATAATAATAAAGACAAAAAATCCCCCATGTTGACCTTTGTCATGAGTAAAAGTATAATCCATGAAGGTATTTTTAATAACACAAAACACCTGTTATAATATTATTATTATTTTCCAGAGCTGCATGTGATATGCATAACCTATATCTTAAATTATGAAAATAGTGATTTATTGCAGACTATTGGATTCAGGTTGCAAGCAAGTATGATTATACTTACACCCTCTTTTCTTTCTTAGCCTAGCAAAATAACAAAATAGTATTCTTCATTTGATATCAGTGTCAATTGGGCTATAAAACTTGTAATAATGGGAAATTCACGACAGATTCTTAAGGATATTTTGCTTGTTTTGCTAAGTGACAGAAGGCACATTAAGATTTCTGTAATACATAACTGCATTCCACTATTCACTTAAATTTTCCTTGGATTCAGTTTTCCAATGTGATATCTCGAATAAGTTCTTTTCGTCACTAACGCTCCAGCTGATAGTCGCTCTGCCTCATGACCTTGGAATGTTGTCTGCTCCTGCATTGGCACTTGCTGCTAACCTCTGCAACAAGAGTTAATTCCAAATAGTTTCCATGATTTTGTTCTTTCTCATAGGTGAAAATTGAAGGTAAATATTTGAGGCAATACTAATTAAGAGCTAGGACAGCATCCAAAATGGTATTTTCATGAAAAATCCAAATGAAAATCCAATACAAATCCTGATTAAAACCTAACCAAGCAAAACACTGCAGATTACCTGGATTCCAATTAATTGTGACAAATGAATACTTGACAGGTTTCAATGCCAATGCTATTTATGTCAGAATGATCCATTAATATTGAAGCAGAAATTACCAGAATTCAAGCAATACAATTGCACTTTACAGCTAGATGAGTAGTCTGAAACTTAGACCCAATACAACTCGTACTCAAATGTCAACTGCTACATTTAGATCACTCAGAGCGCATCCCACCTCTTTCTGTCATTACCTATAGAGCAGGCCCAGCACAATCACAGTGAGCAGGGAACAAATGGTTATGGAAACCCTGGATTTCAAAAGTGTCAGTCACACATAAAGTCCAGGAAAATCAGTTTCAATATGCTAGTCCTTGCTGTCGACAGGAATTAACGCAGGGCTACAAAGAATCACTGAACACCTTCTTTTGGAAATATCTCTCAGTAAGTTTATTATTTTCTGGACAAGCTCACTGGTTGAACATTTTACATGTTATATGTATGTTTCCTTAAAAGTAATATGTGCTTTTGACATATAACTGTTCTAATTACTCATTATCTTTTACTTATTTTAAAGATACTGAATTCTAATAAATTTGCAAAGCAACAGAAAACAATATTATTTTAAATAGCAAGATCTTACTATAATGCCAATAGTAACAAGGCTTTTCTATTAATGCAACTGGCATCTGAAAAATAAACACTTCATTATGCATTTTATAATAATAATAAGCATTTTTTAAATACAAATAAAATTCTAATTTATCATTCAAAGGTAATTACAAAGCTTAAAAATGCCCCTAAATTAATCCTGCCTACATGACTATTATTTCAGAATTTTAAATACATTTTACATTATTTTGGCCCCAATCATTTCAAGCATACTTGCCTTAATTATATATTCCCCAACATTGAAAGTCATATCAAAATACTTGTACTCATTTTAAAACTTAGTAAAAAAATAAATAAAATCAATTCTTCAAATCTACAACAAGCTCCCATCCATATAAGCACCCAGCACCATACACACAGATAAGCATGCCTTTAAAGCCATCAGGCAAAAATGCGATTTAAATTCTGGGCAGTTAATCAAGGGGAATATCAGTCATCAGACCCTGAAATCACATCTACTCACCTAGACAACAATGTGGAATATTTAACACACGTTAGCTTAGGAATAGTTTCACTTTGGGTCAGTTATGATATACGAAGCTCCAAAGATAGACTTTATTATTCAAAGGTAAATTTCAATTAAAAATCTCAGGCATAATTTCTCCTGATTTCACAAGCTCTACTTGTATATCTTCACTACAGAAATTGGTAGATGAGAAAAAGAAATAAATTTAGAATATCTTATCTCACCTGGATGTTGGGATACTTAGAGATTTCAAATCCGTCCCTAGTTTGCACTGAAGAAGAAACTTGTGTGATTCTATTTCCTCTCAAAAACAACTATACTTCTTATTGTATTTTAAATAATAATAACATTAGTCAGAACTTTATCATTAATTTATTTGAGATTAAAGAGTTCCTCTGAAAATATAAGCGAGTTGTCTTTTGAAATAAATAAACCTGGGAGGTTTTACAAGTGTTATTTAGTTGATATTTAATTTTATAACTTAAAGGGAAATGTATATAAAGTGAATGGCTGTGGAGATTATGAGAATCACTTCACAACCTAATAAGAACACAGAATAATATGACTTGCTGTCTTTCCTTACACAAAAATGAGAAAAAAAAATCATAAACATGAATGAAAGGAAAGTTCTCAGGTATTTACAGTAAACTGTGGAGAAAAAGGAAATAATGCTACCCTTCTTTGACTCCATTTCATTTCTTCCTCAATAAGAATGCTTTTTAAAATGGCCTTCTCGATGCCTTGGGGCAGAAAACATTGTGTGTAATGCCATTTCCTTTCACTAGCACTGGACAATTGCAATTGAAGAAATAGTTGCATGGCCACAAGAAACAGAGGAAAGGAGTAACATATGACCTTTCTCAATTGCTATTGTTTAGGAAGTTGTGTATGAATTTAGCTTCTTTCACAACTACGGATGATTTTATTTGTAAGCAATTTTATTCCTTATGAGTTTTTTTTAATTGATGGTACATGTTTGACGAAGTTAATTTCTATATTTATGTTCCTTTATTTGACATTCCTGCATTTTAGCAAACCTTTATTATTTAAAATAAAGTCATTTTAGTGTCATTGTCAGCTATTTTACTTTGGGTTTCACTGACCTTCAGAGGCTACTGATTATGGCTCTCTAGCGTGATCATGTATGTGGATGTTGTGTTTGCCCCTACCATTTTCCATATGCTCTGCCTCACCAACACTGCCATCCGGCGTGGTCCTTTCATAGTTGTCCTCTGGGAGTGGAAGGGCACCCAGTCTTGGCCCTGATGAACTCTTACTGCTTGGTGTTTCTGACTCCTCCAGCCCGCTGTCATAGCAACTCTGCAGTGACCCCTGATGTGGGTCCTGAGGCTGACTCACAACAGAAAACGTCACTCTACGAAATGGCTGTAAAAGAAAAGATTCTGAATGTCACTAACTTATCAGACTGCAGATTATCTTTCAAAAATACATGAATTACATACATTAAGGTCTACTGACAACTCATTCAATACATAATGGTTAGATATGACAACATCAATTTGGTAAACTACGCATATATATTTTCCGAGGCAATGCTTAGAGCTTACATTTTAATATGGGAAGATTAAACATTTTTTTCTGAAACAAATTAGAAAACAGCAATTCCACTAAAACAAATATTAAGTCTGATTTGTTCCACATATTCGAACTGTTTTTCTTCTTGGCGGCCTTCAACCATCAACCTTTCACAAGTAGGCTAGCTAAAAAGGAAGGGTCAGTGCTTCGGGAAGACAATGCCTACGGAACGAATCCCTCGAAAGGAGCTTGCATTTTAAACACTTTGTGCATTTCATATTTTAAAATTGAGTTTGTTGAACAGAAAACTTAAGCCATGAATGAAACAGCAGTACCTAAGAAAATTTAATGCATTACTAGTTGCTCAGAAGGATTTACTACTTTATTCTAAGAAACATATTTCTATAAACCTTGAAATTATAAGGGTAGAACTGAAATAATAGATAAAAGATCAATTACCTATAGAATAGAAAATAAAAAGGTTAATTGTATGTTGTGATTATGACCAGAGACTAGAAATCGATGTAGCCATCTACTTCTGTAAAGCGTTACATTCTGGGAAACTTGGGAGCCATTCGAATTTATCCTTTGGATTGCTATGAATTGGCCTTGTTTCAGTGGCGGTGGATTGATTGATTTAAATATTCAATTGTAATTGTTCATGGGGTTAGAATTTTTTAAGCCATGTACATCCACTGATATGTATTTTTAAAGTACTATAAACTGGGATCCATTATGCTCACAATTTACTATCCTACTGATGATTAGCTATACGTAGAATTGACAGATTATCACTATCCCAGTGAAGATTCGCTGTACATAGACTTGACAGATTACTTTAGCTTCAAGACAAAATTTAGAACATTTACACTCATTAAAAGAACAAACATACATTTAAGTATGTTAACTGAACATGTTATGAAAACTTGGAAATATTATTTTAAAGTTCTGTAAGATCAAAAGTGCCTATCTGATAGTACTGTTGGAAATTGTTACTAATTTTATAAGCTCTTATAGGAATTTGAAATCCGTATTTGTGAGCACACTGTTAAATTCATAGGTCATACTTTTTTCCAACAATGTATAAAATTAATGTTGCCGGAAAGTGGTGACAATGATAAGAGACCTTTTTGGAAACTCTCGACGTTGAATACTACTGGTACAAATTGCTAAGCTTAATTGAGAACAGCAGTTTTTCAAAGAGTTATTGATGGGAAAACTAAAAAAAGTTGTGGCATTTGCCCAAATTTAGAAAACGTCTTTGCTAAAGGCCAGTACATGTCTCCACACATACTCCGGTTGTTGTTCAAGGAAGATACTTTAAAGGGAAGACAGGATACATTACCCATTACTGGAATTTCTGCTCCAGCAGCCCAGCCATCATATACTTATTTGGAGTGCACGCTCTTTACAAAATCATTTTTTTAAAAAAAACTCATTATTAATCAGGCCCTTAGAACTTCTAAGTGAAATGTAAAGGCCAAATATGTTAATCTCATATTTCTTTCTGCAATGTCTCACTGAATAGGAACTACAAAATACAAATGCAATTAAGAAGTCCTAGTACAAAGAGCACACAAATCACAAGTTATGAGAAATAAAGTCTAAAATCATTCATTCTCATTGCACTGATAATTCCCATAGTTCTTTGCAATATATTATGGTTGTGATATTTTTCTATATATTGAAATCAAAGCAGAAATCATTTTGCATTTACTGTAGTTTTTCCTTATGTGTGTGTATTTTCTTTGTATTATTTTTCCATATATCACTCTCAGTGGACAGCAGATTATCTGTGATTTGCTTTATATCTTTGGCCTCACCTTAAAAATGAGCCCATTCGGAGTCCCTAAACCCACTTTGTTCTGCACATAGAAATACTCAGCAAATACTGCTGATTAATGAAATTCTAAATATAATATTGAATCTTGGTAGGAACACCCACAGTTCTGCAGACATATTATTGCCTCAAGACATAGCAATAGGTTAAAAATAATCATAGGGAGAAAAAAAGAAGATTAAAGACTGTTCTTAATTCTGTTTTATTGACAAACTAATCTTTCCAGATCAGCTTTCATAAGTTCCAAATGAATACATTAATTATACTAATAAATAGACAAAAGAGAAAATAGGTGGTAGGAGAAATAGCATTCAATTTTGTTAAAAGTAGACAGCAAGGCATCATTTGAGTGGAGATAGTAATCATAGAATCTGAGCTTCAATGATGGTTCCCTAACTAAGCAATGATAGGAAAGCAGGGAGACAGGTAATAGGTTGTGGTTATTTTTTTAATCTTAAAATTTTAACAATGATTCCTCCATAAGACAGTCTATAATAACTGCCACAGGAAACTATGCATTTTATATTCTTGACTTCCTACTCTATTTTGACTGTGACTATTTGAACCTCATATGACATGGAATGGTAGAGGAATACCATTATAACTGAAAAATAATATGTATTTACATATTTACAAGGGCTTCGAGCTTTGGTGTTCTGGAAGTCTTGTTGCTGATGCCAGGTGCCATTGAGTCCGTTCAGACCCATAGCAACATTCCTCAAACAGAAGGAAACATTGGCAGGGCCTGTGCCATCCCACGTGTGTTCCTATGCTTGAGATCACTGTAGCAGTCACGGTGTCAGTCCATATGGCCCTTCCTCTCCTGCTCTGCCCTTCCGCTTTGCCAAGAATGTTGTCTTTCTCCAGGGACTGGTCTTTCCTGACAACATGCCCAAAGTATGTAAGATGATGTGTTAGCATGCAGGCCTCTAAGGAACACTCTGGCCCCGCCTCTTCCAAGACAGATAGGTGTATCCTTTTAGCATCCATGGTACTCTCAATATTCTTCCAGATCCAAAATTCAAATCCATGGATTCTTCTTTCTTAGGTCTTCTTCAGTCAAGGTCCAACTGCCACATGCACGTGAGGCAAATGAAAATACCCTGGCTTGGGGCCGATGCCTTCATCCTCAAAGTAGCACACTTGCTTCTCAGGACTCTAAAGAGTTCTTATGCTGCGAATCTGGGGTTAGCCTCAAAGAAATGCCACAAGTGGATGCTTTAACTAACAGAAATTTATTCTTGCAACAATTTGGGATGCTAGAAGTTCAAATGCAGGGCATCAGTTACAGTGGAAGGCTTTCTCTGTGTCAGCGCTGGAGGGAGGGGCTCGTCTCCTTTCAACATCTATGAACACAGCATGCCTGGCAGAGCAAGCTTCCATTGGTCTAGGGCGTTCTCAGTGCAGAGACCCCGGTTCCAAAGAATGAGTGCCACTTCCGACTGCTCTTTGTTGTTGGGTATCAGCCCCTTCTCTGCTTGCTTTTCTCTCCTTTCATCTCTTGTCAGATAAATGGTGAAACAGGCCAACCCGGGAAACCCCTCTTACATCAGATCAGGACAGTGATCTGGTTAAGGGCGTTGCATCTCCCTGTAATCACCTGATAAATGACTGTCTGATGAGATCAACTCACATCATAGGGGATGATTGCATCATCACATAGCTGCCAAACCACTGGGAATCGTGGCCCAGCCAAATTTTCACACATCTTTGTGGGATATAGTCAATCCATGATACTTAGCTTCATGAATATTTACCCTTTTTTTAAGACAAAATTCTCAATAAAAATCCAAAATAAAGAGAATCAAAGAATGGATTATAAAACACTTCCCACTAGCATTTTAATGCACCGTTAAAAACTATTCCATTATCTTTCTACCTTATAATAGCAGCAATATATTATCTTTTAAATCTTTTTATAATTTTAGATAAATACCATTTTCATGGCAAAATACATAATTTGGCTATATAAAAAAAATTGCTACCAAATTCCGAACTCTGAAGAAATATCCAGGAGGTTCAAGAGTAATGTTTTAATGACAATAATAAACTGGAAGTAAACAGATGTCGAAAGAGATAGACAAAGAAAGAAATAACCAAAAATTATTTATGTCTTCCTACTCCTTTGGGTTGGATCCACTGAAAGGTGGTTAGGTTTAATAGCAGGGCCATGACTCTCCGTTCATGAGAATTCATACTACGGTATTTAGAAAGACCAGAAAGATCAGCCTACGCAGAAAAGGAAAGTTATGTGTTTCAACTACGTGGCAGCGAAAATGGATTAGCATTACAGACTTGACTGGTAGTCTCTTAATGACTAAAACTCTGAAGTAGATTAGTGTAAGTGGTCATTCTGAAATCTAAATACAATTGAGACTCTCCCAAAGGACGTTGGAAAAGGAGAGAGAATGCCAGACACAAGTTGAAAACAAATTAATCGGAGTTCAGGCAAGGCCCAGATGTGAATCCTGTCTAAAATCGGCTCAGGTGACTAAGGGAAGAGAGGAGTCGGAATCCCATAGGAATGACAGGTAGCTAGATAGGGCCGAAGAGGGTAATGCCCGACAGGATGCCTGCTCCACACGAAAATCAGCGGGCGCTGCTACACTGAAGGTGTTGGAAAGAAATCAGGCACACTAATTAGACGCCGATGGGAAAATACAGGACAGAGCATGCACAAAGGCCACTTAGGAGCAGGTGAAGCTAAACCTGACCACAACCTAGACCCATGACATCACCTAGGGGTGCTTAAACTCAGCCAATAAAATCAGCCAATACCCTCCACCTTGCCTTCAGAGCCAGAAGGGACAGGAGGGGATAAATACCAGACTGAGGGCAAGCCACCCCTCTAGTGCCCTTGCTCTCTTACAGGTCACAGGCTGAGATTTCTCCCATTGCTTGCGCAGGTGCCTGTGTGCCCTCTGGGGCCTGCACGCTCACGGTATTTCGTTTTCTGGGTTCAGGCACCCTTGGCTCTGTGGACTCTTTCACATCCCCTGAAGCGGCTCTT